GTGTGCGAAATTCATTCTCCAATATATTTTTTATTTATGTTCTATGCTAAAATACACCACTTCCCTCCTTTAACTCCAATCGAAACATTACATAATGTAATGCCAAATATGCCATTTGCCTTGCCACTCACCGTAATATTACATTTACATTGGACCAAAATGCGTGATTTGAAATCAGTCATTTGAAGGTGTTTACACTGCTTGATCCGCATTTGCTTTGACTTCTCATCAAATGAAAAGGGAAGACAAAAACAAAATGTATGTAAACAAACACTACATTTATTATATTGTTAACGCTTTTTGGACACAAAAAGGCAATTATTCTTTGATTAAACTAAAAATGTGTAAAGCTCTTGTATAAATTAACAATTTTTACACACAAATTTCAAAGATTTATTTATTTCGTTGTGTTTGTTTTGTGTTTGAAAAATTCCAAATGTCAAAGACAAACCAAAGCTTTTGTGGAACTTTTGTTTCTGAGTGCGTTCAATAAAATAGTACGGCAATTGGAACGCATTTGTTTCGTGATTTTGTGTAAATGCGTCGAAATGCGTCATTCTGGAAATGTGAATTTGTATGGAGAAATGCGTGATTTGGCCTCGCATTTGAGGTTTCTCGCCCAAATGACGCATTTGGGCTCAATGTAAATGTAATATAACAATTGCACGCCTGTCATTGCATTTATTAAGGTGCTGTAACGGTGCTACTTGTACTTGGCATTCTTTGTACGAGTATGCGTATGCGAAGCGACCGTTCTACTCAAGGTCGACACCATATCCAGCTGTGGTGAGAAATGACCTTAAGCCATTTAGTTCAATGCAGCATCTATGCAGAACTCGTGCTATTTCCTACATTTCCAGGAACGAGACTGGTCTAGTATTTAACATCAATATGCACTATTAAAATTGAATTATTCTTTGTTTGTCACTTCAAGTTTCCGAGTGTCTTTAAAAGGTTTCTTCTTTTTGGTTTATGATTGAATCTACTGTACGCCAACAATAGGGTTGCCAACCGTACTATAAAAAACCGTCTAAAAAACTACTATATATATATGAAGTGTACTATATTTTTTCAGATTTTTTTGAAAAAGTACTAAAAATTTCTTACAAAATGTTGGCAACCCTAGCTAATAAGTGTTGCTATCGACACGGCAAATTAATTTTGAATATCATTTCCGAAGTGCACATTTCGTTTCACTTAATTAAATAAAAAATGTTTTGAATTCTATGTTTTTTCAAAATCTTTATTTTTTTTATTTTTGTGTTATACCCAATGCGTAATGTTATACTTAACAAATGTTGTATACTAAATAGCAATAATATGTTTTTTGCATTTCTAATAATAGTTTATTCATAACTGTGTGCATGTACATACGCAAATATAAAATATTCTGATTCAAATTAAATTTAAAAATATTTCGTTCGATCAGTGCTTTTTCGATCCTATTATCTAATTTGCGTATACAATGCAACCCTTATGATTTTCTAAGTTTTTTGTTTATCCATATTGAGTTATTTATTCTACTTCTATATATGTAAAGTATATTTATATACTATTCATTACTCATTTTCTCTTTGCAACACTTACTAACAAATATCACATACATACATAGTGTGTAATTCTTTCGAAGAAAAAAATGTACAAGAGAAATTTTCGCATGCCATACATATACAAATGTTATGAAGTTTTTCCATTTCCATATTTGTAGATTCGTTAAAAATATAGACTTAACTTTAATAATTTTATATGCTTGGAAGATGAAGTTGACCATAGTAGCAGCTAATATTTTTAGTTTTCTTAGAAATTTGAGTAATAACTTTTTTAAAAATGTTTAAGTGGATTTTGGCTTACGAACAAATCTTCTACATGAATATCTCCCAATAGTTAGCTCTTCACAAATATTGGCTCATAAAGTTATTTGAACCGTTGATGTTAAGACAGAAGTACCTCGGCCGAAAATATATCTCACGCACGACAAGGAAAACTATCGAGCCGATAGACACAAGGGTAACGCTCGCTCTAAGCAGCCACTGTCCAGTGGTTTCTGAACAGCTTCTGTCTAATGGACTGTTGAATTAATGTATCGCAGCTTGTACTGGTAGTGAAAAGGAAATCACTGTCAGGAATATCTAGCTAGGACCAGGATCAGTGAAGGTGTTTAGTGCTAGAGCCAGTCCGGGAACTAAGAGAGATAATATTTTTCGAGAGAACCTCTCCAGCAGCAGAAATGAAAATCTCTGTTCAGTTGTTGTATGCTACAGCCCGTCTAATGTTTGGTACAGGAAGGTTAGCTTCGGATGAAATACCGTATGCCCTGATAGTTTATGGCTGTCACTGGCAAGAAAATCCTTGCCAACAACTGGGTTGGTTACAACAGGCAGTCCATCACTGCTGAAAAGTATTTCAGTTAAAGAAATCTTCCCCACACCAAAAGTGATTGTCTCAAAGAGAATCTATTATGGAGCTAGTCAAGGTCTAAGAAAATAAACTTGTTTCAAGACAACCTACCCTGTGCCCTTGAAGGTTACCCATTTAAGGCTGTCGCATAATAGATGCTGTAAACGTACTAGAGAAAATCTACATAGCTCATGAACTGGTTATCCAAGTCAAGCTCTTGCGTGGTAGTGCCAGTGCAGGCACTATGAGAGATAAAACATCGTGAGAGGAGCTGTTCGGCGTCAGAAATGATTATCTCTGATTAATGTTTGCATGCTAGAGCTTGTTCAGTTTCTATTGGGTGTGAACATTTAGCCACTGTCGAGAAATCCTGAGGCTCTAGACGGTATCATGGTTTTGTCTCGAGTACTTCGGGCCGCGACCTTTCGGGTATCGCTGATTAACTGCAGACGAGCAGAAAAATTTCTTCAAAATTTATTAGTCATAGCCGTTCCATCGAAACAAAAAATATATAAAAAATTGTATTGAAAAGTAGCCAACCGTTTCAATAAAAGGCTTTGTGAAAGCTTTCTTTCAGTTTTTTTTACTACAAATAAGTTAATACTATAGGTATACTTCTGTTCTTATACTAACCCATGATTTTATTTAATTAGTCGATGCGGTTACACGCATTATGCTTCATTTTTATGCTTTTCGTTTTGGATTTGGGGAGCTTCGAGGCTTTTTCAAAAAAAAAAAAAAACTTCTTTCAAATTAATTATTTTACTTTAGTAAATTTAAACTCGTTGTCTGGATAAGTACTGATATAATTTTATACAAAAAAATGCCACTTTAGCTTAAAATTTGCCATCCCATATGAAACAAATAAACACTAATGGCCTTATTCATAAAAAATAAAGTAGATTTAAAGAGCTTTCTAAAGTGACGTTTTCATACATTTTTCAATCTGTAAACCCTTTTGTGAAGCTACCCTATTTTTTATGAATATGGCTATAAATTTTTTCCATTTTTGTATGAAAATTATATTTTATCTTTTAATAAAGCAAAAATTGTTCTTAAATTACATTAAATTTTAACTAAAAACTACTAGACTAACTAACTACAACATATGTATGTACCAACTATACTAATAATAAAGTATTAAAAACTAAAAGTTTTACTAAAATTAAGACAAACTAAAAAAAAATTTCAATACTTTTTGTTAAGATTTAATTTTATCTATCAAATATGAGCGCAAGATTTTTTTTTTATGTGAATGCATATGTCTATGTATCGCGTTTTTGTGGGAAGAGTGTCAAATCCCAAAAGAAACTTGTTGTGAAAATTATTATTAAAGAAAAAATTTCTTCTTGGCAAATTTTTTTCCATTTTCTCTGTGTTTAGCGGTCATAGAGAGCAAACAAAAATCTTAGACCAAAGCTCGGCTACATACATAAGTTTTTTTATATTCAAAACATAGTTGTTTAACGCAAATTTAAAAGTTGCTGTTTTGAATTTTACACTTTTCAAAATATGCCATTCTTCCAATAAAGTCGCGCTATTTGTTTTATATACTTAATTATGTAAAGTTAATGAATTTTTATGTTGACAAACTTAAACTTTTTTACTTGAAAGGAAATAAAAATTTGAGATCTTTGTCTACAAAAGCGAATAAAGGTTTGAATGTCAAGAATAAAGAAAAAAATAAAAAAATATTTTAAGAAAGACAGTGAATTCATGTATGTAAATTTATGTATAAGCAACTTGAGCACTTTTAAGAACAGCTTAAAAAAAAGCTTCACTTAAATTAACGGCAAAAATTTTAACCATCAAACATTTTGTCTAAGTGGCATTCAAGGCCGCAGTATTTTCTACCCAACATCTAACACTGACTCAATTTGGTTGGAAATTAGTTGAAGAGACAGAAACTGTGTAAAGAGTTTGAGAGACTGCAGGTGGGTAAAACTTATATTTCGCCCAAAATCAGAAGGTCTAGCTAAGAAAGTATTTGCTTTAATTGGTGCGTGTGCAAAGTGATGTAGACCGGCGCTACGGAGTTGGGCACTAACAGGATCGTCAAGAGGGGCAGTCAGCAGGGTTAATTGAACCAGGCCCGGCTAAATGTCGGAGGCCCGGCGAAGGAATTAAGATAGGAAATAAATTGAGAAGATTTTGCAAAATGACAAAACATGCAATCCAAAATTTAATTGAACTGAAAGCGGGGGTTTCTGATTTCCTTCAACTGGCATAATAGTCTCCCTAGTTCATTGTAGCTTTTTTTTTTAGGAAGACAACACCAACAAACAGTGGTAAAGGCAGTTTTTGGATGCCCTGAACTGGGCTCATATTCCAGCGACTCCCTGTCATGCGTGAATTCTCGGCTCTAACGTTTGGTGGAGGAAAATGCAGGTCCAGATCTCTCCAGGCACTGTAAACATCTCTTCAAGCATTTCTGGCGGCATTTTGTTCTCTTTGTGAAAGATTTTACGTTAGCTCTGTACTCCAATTTCGCACAATACGCAGATAACTCACACAAGGTGGTGTTTACGGCTCAATTACTGAAAGCGTAATGATGTAAGTGCTAGGAAAATCGGTACTACCAAGATTACTGGCTATTACTTACATAGGTTGAGAACATTTCAGCCTCCCCTCATAAGTAAGTTCAAAAAAAGGTTTTAATTCAAGGGGCCCACCGATGACTACTTCGCTGGGGCCAGGCCCGGGTCTCGACGCCCTTGGGCACTAACAATGAGTACTTTCAGGCCCCATTGGTTTAGCGGCCCAGAACATACGTTGTAGCCTAGCTCGCAGTAGCATGGCTGGTTGGAACCTTGCGAGCAGTGAAGTGGAAAATATCCCCTTAGTTGAATAATTTAGAGACAACTCAACGTTTTGGTAAACGATTGAAGGTGGTATCGAAGCAGGTGAGTTATCGATTTTAAGGAGTGGCGCCAGTCGAGACGCAAAACGCTGCAGTAGCTTTAATTTGCTTGATAGGTGTGACACTAATTGGCTTTAGGAAAATATGAGCAAATACCCAGATACTGAATTCGTTCCAAATTTAATTGCCGTCAACCGAATTTATGGTGAAAAAGTACCTTTTCTGGAAAGTATGCTTAGCCCAAGTTAGTGTTGATATATTCGTTAAAAGACGGGAGTTTAAAATTCAAAAAAAATTCTACCTAAGATAACCGCCCTTCAACAGTTTCTTAAAAAAAGTGCTCAAAGCTCATATGTGTTTAAAATGATTTTCAATGAAGTGATAGAGAAATCTATTTGCATTAAGAATTAAAAGAAAAATTCTATATAATTAAAAAAAGCTAACACCTTGGCCAACATTTGACAACTTCTCTAAACTTTAAATCTTTTTTTCCGTATGGTTTTTGTATGGCACAGATATACAAAAACCACATTTTCTTAAATTTAACTGTGGAAAAATTTGTTCACCCAATGTGTATTACACACCTTTCGCTCTCCTTGGCATACACAAACACAAAATACTTCATCATATACTACATATTCCTCCGTAAAACGAACGTTGACTAAACATACGCATTTGTTGCCTTAATATTACAGGACATCTTATTGAAATTGTCATCGATGTGTGAAACCGGCCGATAGGAGCGTTGCTTCAAACGCAACTGGATGATCCAAGCTATCAAAACCGCAATGAAGGCGACTAAAATGCCAATGACAATGTAAATCATCCAATGCTTGCAGGACTCTGAAACGACTTGAACTTCGGGCAAAATCTCTTCGGGATATAGCTGGAAGGTGGCTGGCGCATCATGGCGTACAGACACAACTGGCGGGCAAGCGGTGGCTATGGCGGGCTCACTGGCAAGAGCAGCGACTACATGTGTTGGTGCGGCGGTAGTAGGTGAAAGAGGCAAGTACTCGGCAGGTGCATAGGTGGACGACATTGAGTGTACGTACCCAGCTGGACTGGCTGTGACGGCAGCACTGGCGGAAGTTGAACTGCTGCTGCTACTGCTGCTTGTTTTGCTGCCTTCTGTAGCTTTCGTAGTGGTTTGCAACTGCTTATCCCCTTCCAGCTCATCCTCCTCATCGAAGGGTATATCCGGCAATGTGTCAATCTCATTTTCAGCGCTATAGTCACTGCCATGTGGCACATTATCCAGCACGCTTAGCTCTTCTCCAACATCTTCATCGTAACGACGCGCCACGCTGCCATATTTGTCACTGCCGCTACGGCTGCTGCTCAATACCTCATCCGGCATGGGCGCACAATCGGGCCAACAAATGGGGCAACAGCCATCCTTTAGCGTCACCTGTCGTTCGCGTGGACAATTAATGTTGCTGCAGAAAGGGAGCACACACTTTTCAATGCCATCGACGCATTCGCATTCATAGCAACCGACGCGCCAACTCTCGCCATGCTCGAAGAAAACATTCAACTTTTCGGGCTTGCAGATTGCTTTTGTTTTGTTGACGGCCTCGTCGCAGATTTGAATGCACATGGGCTTGCCGGAGAAGCAGTGGCAACGTTGACAGCCTTTCAGCCAATATAGCTCACTATCTACTCCTGCCGTGCAATTAGGCTTGCGTTGGCATTCATATTCGCCGCAACAATGGCCGGGTTTGTTCATTGACTCGGGCTGTAGCTCGACCACCACTTCATCCTCGCCATGACAGTCGGGTATGTGGCAAGTTTTGCAGAGGCACTTCTTCGCCAGGCAGCATTCTGCATAGATTTCTTCATCGATTTCGGTGGTGTTGTAGGGCGCTTCGTCGGTCACATCAGGCGCTACGGTAAGCGGATTCATTTCGATGGTGTTGAGAATTTCGCGTATGCTGCTGTCCGGTGGGCAGATCATGTCGGACATGGGCGGACATCTCACGTTGTAGCAGAGGTGCGGTATGGTGTCGGCTGTAAATAGGAAGAAAAAAATACGAGGAAAGGGTAAGTAAAAGTCAAGTTAGTTGTTAAAAAATGTAAGTTAGACATACAACTGGATTAAATATACTGTATACTTTTCAATTCCCTATATCCTATTAATCTTAGTTTAAAAAAAGAATAAATTAGCTTCATTCAAGATTCATCATAAATGTCGATTCCACGTACAAAAGCTTTTAACTAAAAACATACTCTCTATTGGGAGAAACCTGCGCCGACACCAGTAACTTCGTCTCCCGCATAGGACAAGAAGATGGCTTACATGGTCGATTCCACGTACAAGAAGTGGTGAGAGGTTCGGTCGCTTTTGTTCTCGGTTACAAATTGTCGAAGTTTATTTTTGGCAGAGAACAGTAGGCGGATTCGTTTGCTGTTGCCCGAGGTGAAGTGAAAGTCTGAATGGCAAGTAAAAGAAAAAGCATCTCGCACTGCTTGACCGAGGCTTCGACAGCTCCCTCCCAGTGCCATCGGCCTCCGCAGTAGCCAGCAGACAGATCAAGTGTGTGGCGGTCAAGGAACCTTTTTGAACTCAGACCACCGTAGCTTTCTGGAGGGCACTCTCCGCGTCGAAACCAAATTTGTATATTACCGAATTCTTAGCTGGATAGATACGGATGAGGTGGAGTCATATCAACACTTGTTCTAAAGCTGCCCAGTTTTTGAGCAATCAGATAGGTGACGCATGAGTCGAGATATTTGAAAAACCCATATTTATATGTAGTACGATTTGGTTCATATTTAAAACGTATATTAAACACATGAAAAGAGTTAATTTCACGAAAAATTTTGCCGATGGGTGGCGCACTGGTCGGTATATTTCGTACACCAGTATTTATCGTCCAATTTCGTTCATATTTAAAAAGCTTGCTTAAGAAATATTCGTTTTTACTATTCACTTATTTTTCTACAACCCCGACTTTCAGAAAATCTTTTTTTCACCAATTCCACAGCCGACTGCTGAATATTGGAATAAATATCGGACTGAGCGCTAAAAAGGGAGTTACACCAGTTAGGGTGTAGGTGACGGCTGCTTGTAAGCGGCTACCTCTACACGAAGAAGGCTGCAATTTTGCCGAAAAGTTGTCAGAACGCGACCCCCTCCAGCTTTGCTAGTCGACATTTTCGAAGAAGGTATTTCGAGTGTCAGTAAGCTGAGTTGGTCCTCAGGGTCATTAAACGGGTTAGCAAAGAATAATGCAGCAACAGTATCTATGTGCAGCCTACAATTGTTAAATTTCACCACCGAATTCCAAAATTTTGAGTTTCAGTGGTGAAAGAAACTCCTTCGAATTAGCAGAAATGTATGTATGTATAAAATGTGTTCACACATATAATATATAATTTTTGTTGTAATAAGATTTAGCACACCTGAAAGTGGACTAATACCCAAGTGAGTGCCACCAGCGGCAAACGAGTCTAATTGAACAATCAACCTGATTGCCAGCAATGGTCATCGAAAGGCAAGCGCACAACAATGAAAAAAACGCATTGGTAGAGGCAACAAAGACAAAACGTGAACAATGGCAACAATAGCAAAAGCCAAAACAATAACAACAATAAATAGTCGAATACCGAGCCCAATAGAGCCTGGAATGAAATGCTAATGAGTATTCGTGTCAATGCTTTAATGGTGAGTAGCGCAGCAACAAGAATTCAAGTACTACTTGTTTGCATATTCTGAATACACACTTCGCACAATCGCTGGGGCACTGCGGGCACATATCATCAACCTAAGTAGGCCACATTGTGACTTCTGCGTGAATGCATGAATGCGTAAATGCTTGACTGGACATGGCAGCAGGCGTTAGCGCTGGGTGGCCGTCAGCAATCAGTCACATTGTCGGATGTTGTGGATATTGTTGTAGTGGTTGTTGTTGTTGTTGTTGTTGTTGGTACTGTATCTGTGCCGTTGCACAGGCATTAATAAAACATTACATGGTAGCAGCGGTGATGCACACTAATACATGCAAGCATAAATGCTTCGATATAAGCATTCACTTATCGTTGCTGCATACTTCGAGGCGCTTAGCAATGGTGTGGCGAGTAAATAGGTATCTTGGGCAAGTGAGTGAATTGATGCGGCATCTTTGCTTTGACTACATTGCTGGTAACAGCTGCTGTTTACCACTGCTGTGCCTGCCTCGCTGTTGCTGTCAATGCTGTTATTGAAGGGTTGAATCAAACGTAGGCCGCTTGTGGCAACATGTGTGATGTGAAATGTCAAAAATCACTAGCTGTGAATGCGCTTTCCACGATGTTGAGTAGCTTGATTGCCACAAGTTGCACTACAAATATCCACAAAAGCACACGCAATAGCCTAACCCGCCCCCCTAAAGGCCTGTCATACATCGGAAACAACGGGAAAATGAGCAGTGACATCAATTGTTGTCGTCGCTACGCGCTGCGATAGCCTCATTATTCAGTCCAGCTTAAAGGCGGCTACCCAGAGTTAGTGAGTGTCTTAACCATAGACTATAGTGCAGGTGTATTGGTGGCAAACAGCCCCTTAGCCAGCTAGTGATTAATAGCAGCGGCTGCTTTTACCGCTAGCTACAAATGTACCTTGATTTTCGTGTCGAAAAGCTGCGCAAAAATATTCACGCTCTATATATCCCACTCGGCGAACATCAGCTCTATTTGCTAAGCCTTATCCCTAGAGTGATGCAGTGGAAAAAATGATGCCACATTAATTCGCACGCAGGTTTTAATTGAAGTGCGCGTAGCTGGCACTCAAGTTGGTTTTATTGATGTCAATTTCTCTGCTAATGTTCGCTCTTCTTCTATGCTTATATGGCTTCAATTTCACTGGTATTACATTTGCTGTAAATGGCATTTACGCTGTACCACCTTCATTAGCGTCTAAGTGTGGTTCGGTTGCACTTAGCGATGGCATTTACAAAACTTCAAATGGCTGGGAGGCAAAAGCGTCAACGTACTGTTTACGTTGGCTTTTGAGAAAGTTGCTTTTTAGAAGCCCCTTTTGCGCTAACTGAGATGGAAAAATTAAGGCTACAGTTTTGTACTTTCTCATACAGCTTAACTTGTCTAAGTATCAGAATGATTCCTCCTTGGAAAAAAATTTTAAATTTAAAGATGATGATAATTGGCATAGTGATATCCACATAAACATTTATTAGCCATTTGAGAAGTACATGAATGTTTCTCTCTAAATAGCGAATTTGTTGTAGCAAATTTTACTACATACTTCCAGGCTAACTGTTGATTTGAAACAGTTGGCGATACTCCTATTACTAGCGCAACTGCACCCCTCAAAGCTAAACATACGCCTTTAATATCTTATAACCACATGTGTCACCCTACTGAATGACCCTCTGAAGTTTTCTCATACGAGAATTCTTCCATCAGCGAATGCTTGCTAAAGTTCCGCGAAATTAAATTCCTAAATGAATTCAAACGCTTATATTATTTAAACAAATTTGTGTTACAATTATGGCAAATTACAGGCTATTTTGCGCCACAACTGTGAAAGTTTCAAATGACAAATGTTAATAGCAAATGGTCGATAGGAAATGAAAGGAAATCAGAAGCAAACACTGAAAATATCCAGCTGTTAAATTTTAAGCTTTTGGCAGATTCAGAAATTGAAAAATTCATAGCCGCTTTAATGCTCAAAATTTCTCTCTACTCTTTTTAGTTAAGGGCAGGAAAAATCACTGCAAATACTTTTTATTATTTCTGTTGATTGAAAAAATACCTTGCTGTTGCTGTAAATTTTCTTTAAGAAATAAATAAGCGAGCATTTTTTTCGTGATACCTTTATCACGAATAACGAAGCTTCAACTGAATATGAAAGCTTCATAAATACGAAAAAGTGTTGAAAACCTTAAAAATCATAAAGTAAGAGTAAAACAGTAGAAATGAAAGTTACGGCTTGATGAATAATAAAAGCTCTGTCGGTCCTTAAAAAATGTCACACTTTAAAACATGTGAAACTTTCATTGAATATTAAAGCTCAGTCGAAAGTGAAAGTTTAAGAAGTAACAAAAAGGTATTAAAAAGTACTAACTATTGAAACTAGGGATTTAGTTTGACTATGAAGGATTTAGCAGAAACTGAGATTTCAAATTACGTGAATTTTTTGTAGTCTACTAAAGCTCAAGTGGAAACGAAAGCTTCGTCAGCATACGAATATATCGGATTTTAATCATATATACCACATATGACGTAATTACGTCCAATAAGCGAAAGTTTCGCAAGGTACAGTTATTTTAATGGCTATGAAAGATTTGTAGATCAAAGCTCAAAATCTTAAGAAAGCTTTACAGAACTATAAAAAGGTTAAAACTTCAGGTGCAAGAAAAAAGTATTAGTAAACTCTTAAGATTTAATCTTGAAGATTTGATCCTACTAAAAGAAATCAAGAAGACATCTTCTATAGGTTTAAATCTCTTCAAAGAATGACTACCCTTTAACGCCTATGAAAGCTTTAGAGGTCGTAGATTACCAATCCTTTGAAAGCTTCAGAAACAGGTAAAGTTTAAAGTTCCTGAAAGCTGTCGCTGAGTAATAAAGCCTACATGAGAGTGAAAGTTTTAAGTGATTCTACTCTAAGAAATCATGAAGAAATCTTCTGTAATCTTGCAATAGCAAAAGTTTCAAAATATGCATATTCTTCAATGGAAATGAAAGCTGTGTGGATCGAAGTTTATGAAACCTTTGAAAGCTTCAGAACAAGGTATAACTTTAGAGTTCCTGAAAGCTGCGCTGAGTAACAAAGCTTATTGGAGAGTGAAAGTTTCAAAAGCATATATAAAAATACATATTATGCAGCTCTAAATATAATAGCTCAAAATATGTTTTTGAATTTCGATTGGCGATGCTGTATTGCTTTGAACTTTCACTTTTTTCTATTCTCTTGCAAGGTACTCTTTGGCACTCTTATATGTGTGTTCCTCGACATCCTAGTAGTCGTTTCGAAACATTCGTTCCATTTGGCAACACTTGTATGGCCT